CAATGAAACACATAAAAGTCTCATACAGAAGTAAACAAACAAACAGATAAACAACACATGAAGTCAGCATGTGATGATGTATACACAACAGATCTCAAACTTAAAGATGGACCTAGCTCCCAGACTAGTAAACTGCAACCCACTCAAATAGGAAAACAACCACCTGGAAACAAATAGTGGTCAGATCTTTTCTCCAAACTAAAGGGAGAAAGGCCACATTTACAAATGCTGCACCTAAACAAAAAATACTCTTTAAGAATGAAAATGCACTCATCTTCAACATTCAAGATCTTGTAAATATCTCTACAAACAACATTATCCTAGCTCTTGCAACTAAACTAGGAGGAGACCTGCTAGCAGCTAAAATGCATATGCAAAGAGGAAAATGTACTTTCCTAAAAACTGTCTTTGTTAACAAAGATAAACAGAAGCTCTACGCATCAGAAGAAATAAGTATTTTTAACCAAACTTTGTTTGGTTATATTCCAATAAGCCTCAAGTGCACTTTTCTCTCTGTTAAGCTAAGAAATATGCCAATGGGAGAAAAGGAGCATATTAATGAATTGGTTAAAACAGCATTTCAAGATGTAGACACTATTGCATCAATCAAACCACTCATGTTTGAGGGGACATCAATATGCTCAGATCAATGGATTATTATGATCTAGCTCAAAGACTTCCTAGATACACACATGTTGGTGACTATAAAGTCTCGACAGACTAGAAAGAGGCCCCAAAAGTTTGTTATTACTGTGAACAAACAGGGTACATCAAGAAAGACTGCAAAGATCTTAAGGCTTCAATTGAATTTAGACAAAGATTGAAGAATTACAAAAAACAAAGAGAACAAAAAGACCTCATATCTGAGAGTCAGATTCAAAATGAATCCCAAACGCAAATGCAATTCAGCCCAGAAAACCCATATATCTCAGAAATAATTCTAGAAAATACTGACAAAAGCACCACAGAAACTCAAGATACACTTCAACCAGCATCAGAAACAACTATAGCAGAAACATCTTAGGCAGAAAAACTCAACCCTGCTAATACAATTGCAGAAGCAAATGAGATGGAACAACTGAAAATGAACTAGAAGCTACAAACATATCTGTAAACAACGCTGGGGCAATTGACATGGAAACAGATATCATATCTTATAATGAAGTAAACAACAACAATGAAGGAGAATTCACTCTAGTTACCTCAAAGAAAGAGAAATTTAAAAACAAGACTAAGAAAGGAGGCTATTCTCCTTTTTCTAGAATTAACAAAGCAGATAAGGAGAACAACCCCCCAAGGGGTTTCTTCTCCTCATGTTTAATCAATAGAACAACCACATGTGTAGCTTAATATACATCTATTAATCCATGATTAAGATTGCTACACTAAATGTAAAAGGCCTTAACAATAATATAAAGGTCTGAAAAACATTAACTTTATTAAAATCTTACAAAATAGACTTAATACTTTTACAAGAAACAAATCTCAAAGACATCACAACAAGAAGATTCCTCTCACAACAATGGGGATATGACTCAATTTGGACTTCCAAAACAGCTATTTTGGCCGGAAAAGCTAATATCAAATTTTCTGAAACACAAGTCTCACACAACGACCGAGTAATCTTAACTAAACTAATATACAAACACTGTCGATATGCTATCACAAACATTTATGCCCCATCAAGCCACGAAGACAGATACCGATTCTTTAGTAACTGAACTCCAATATTGGACACCAATGCATTAAATATAATAGCAGGGGACTTTAACACAAACCTAGATTCTAAGATTAACCACATTAGTCAAGCAGCAATACAAATGACAATTCACGAGACTTACTACTGAAACTTCTAAAAGACTTTGTAGATACAGCAAGCTTTTCAAAAGATAACCTGTTTTTGACATTTTATAAAAATACACAAGGCAATCAAAAAATGGCTACTCAATTAGACTATATATTTGTAGACACCAACTATGGCTGTCTTAATTTTGAGACACAAACCTGTTTTGGCAATTCAGACCACCTATTAGTAGAAAGCCAAATCTCAAGCAAGTTTAGATACCAAACTACATCTTGCTGGCGGTTTGATAGAAAAATGCTGGCTTATACTAGAAATAGAAACAGAACTAAAAAAAATAATCAAGAATATTCAGGATATTCAAGAATAAGACCTCTACAAATGCACAATACAATCAATAATCCAGGCCTACAAACCTAAGTCTTCTCCAGAAAGAAAACCCAACAACTCCATAAGAAGTTAAACAACTTTAACAACAAACTCGCTATAAATCCTGAGCAAAGAGACTTTAACCTTCTTGCAGAACATACCAAAGCTCAAATCCAAGAAGAATTAGTATCTCTTTCAGAAAAGTGGCAAATAAGATCCAATGCTAAATGGATAGAAGAGGAAGAAAAGTCCACAAGATACTTTTTTTCACTCTACAAATCCAAACATACAAAGACAAGCGGCTCCAAAATACGAGATCCTAACAATACAAATCTAGATAAACCACTTGAAATCCTCAAATATATAAGAACCTCTTATCAGGAAACATACACAAAACCTTTCAAAGGTTACAGAAGAACAAAATATACATCTAACCAAACCAATAAATGAAGAAGAAATAGGCAGCATAATAAATACACTGCCCTGCAACAAAGCACCTGGATCAGATGGTCTTACCTATGAGTTTTATAAAGATACGAAAGAAGAACTTCTTTCTTTTCTAGCAAAACTCTTTAATTACATCCTTAGCTCAGGCAACATGCCTAACTTCTGGAACAAGAGCATAATTACACTGATTCCAAAAAAATCTGACAACCTAGAAGATATCAACAACTGGAGGCCTATCTCACTTGTAAACAGTAATGCCAAAATTTTTATAAAAATTATTGGATACTGCCCTGGATATTTTGACAGTGCTAAGAAACCAAACAGATCAATCTAAACAACACTGGCTCTTGCTACTTGATCAACAAAAAGCATTTGATAGAGTTAATTACTTCTATCTACAAATGGTCTTCCAAAAAATGAGCTTTGACCCAAAGTTTACAAAAATCGTTAACACTCTTTTTTCAACTCAGCAAGCACATATTACAGCAAATGGCCATATCTCAGAGGCCTTTAAAGTAGAACAAGGGTTAGACAAGGAGATCCACTTTCTCTACTGCTGTATATACTAGCTTTTAACCCACTTTTAATAGCTTTACAACAAAATATGTGAAGCATACATATCAACAACCAAGACTTCAAACTAGCTGCATATGCAGATGATTTGACAATTGTAATCAGCTTTAAACTCCCGATAATGTTGTCTTAGTGCAACCAATTCTTTGAATTGAGTGCATTCTTTTTTTATGTGACCTTCTTGGTTACAGAAGTAATAAACATTAGGAGCTGACCTCCATTCAGTTGTAACTTTGTTGTCTCTAAGATGAGTAAAGCGAGAAATACGATTTTCTAGATCAGCATCTTCGGTTGTATCGAAAATGACAATCCATTGATCTGTTAAGTATGGAGTTTCTTCAATGACTAGCAGTTTAATTGAGGCTATTTTGCCTAAATCTTGGAATGCATCTTTGATTAGCATTGTTATCTCTTCTTTTTCTCCTAATGGTACAGTACAAAGTTTAATTGGAAGAATGAGTCTGTTGGAATATATTCAAAGTAAGTGTTGTTAAAGATATTAACGCCTTTGACTGTATAGACACCCAAAGTGGTTCTGTTAGTAAAAACAATCTTCAAGTGTATGCAATTTCCTTTTTTGAAATGTTGTTTTGCTGCTATGACATCCTGCTTAATGCTTTCATAAAGCGAGACTATTATTTCATTGAAGGAGCTTTGGATATCTTGTATTTCAATAATTAATACATTTTTGTTTTTGGTTCTTATTTGTTCTCTGGGAGAGAAAGCTGCATAGGTTGATTGGCCTCTTCTTAGTTTGGGAAATAAACTTGATCACTTCTTAGTTGTTGTATCTTTTGGTTGATTAAAATCCTCTTTGGCTTTTCCTTTAGAAGATAAACTTCCAATATATAGATTGTGTTTTGAGAATTCTGTAACACCAGACATGTTTTGTTTTGATGGTTGTTCATGATCTGAGGTCATATGATTTTGCATGTGTTTTGCTATATGACTTTCTTTGTTGTTTTGTTGTTCCTTATTATTATGTGTTAATGTGCTTGTAGAAACCAAGCCTTGGTTTTCTTCTTCTTGAGAAACTAGCTCTTCCCAATCAGCCTTCACAAGTAAAATGATATTCAATAGGGATTACCTGATTGCTGCCAAATTTAACCCTATCGGCATCCTATTGCCTACGAATTTTGGTGCAAAAAGATGTCAATAGGGTTATCAGATTATTATTATTATTTTTTTTTAAATCTTAAAGGGGGGTCAGATTATAAAATATTTAATAAATAGTAATTAAATAGTTTAAATCAGTAAAAATATGAAATCAATCTGGTAATAATCAGGTAACCCTATTGACCTCCTTTTGCGCCAAAATTATCTTTAAATTAAATTTGAATTATCTTTAAATTGAATCATGATTGTTAATATGATTCAAATAAACTTGTATGTTATCATTCATTTGGAAATGTAGTTGAAAATCCAACAGAACAAACGTATAAAAGAAATTATTTCTAAAAACTTAGCTAAAGATGTACGGCATAATATTTCAGAGGTGAGGACCTTAATATATGTTTATTTTTAATAAATAATATTATTAATCCGATATTTTAGTAGACTCAAACCAATGATCCAAACTATTATGCCCAGTCTTTGATTTTAATGAAGATCATGGAACAACCCATATTTCGGTTATTGATGTTAATAATATGGCAGTATCCTTTACTTCTACGGTAATTATTGTTTGCTATTCCTTCTTTTTTTTTCCTCATTCTTATTATTTACATTTTTAGAAATATTTTAATAGGTCAATCAAATTTTGGGTGCACGTGTTTTAGATAGTAATACAGGTATAATTCTTAACGACGAAATGGATGATTTCGCAGTTCCTGCAAGCCAAATACTTTTGGATTATGGCCTTCGCCTTATAATTATGTTGGTAGGTCATTTTCATATACTAGTGTTCCAAACAGACAAACCTGAAATAAAAATTGTTGAATTGAATAATAGACGAGTAAGCTTGAACCGCTCTCAAGTTGATCTGAGCTGTTTGGAACAGCTGCCCAGTAAGAGCATAAAAAAGTTTTACGTATTTCACGTTACAAAGATTGGAGTCGATCATTCTATTCTTTGGAACACATGTACGTACTGTATTACGTATTTAAATATAGTTGACACAAAATTACCGAATTGTATCATTACAACATTTTCATGCTGCATTGCGAGATTTACACGTGGTACTGGTGAGAAATGTTGTACTGTAAATTAAATTTGCCGCCAACTATAACTGATCTACCAACCTAAAACATTCGTAAAAAAATTTCGCTGTCAGATTAGGGTTGGGTTTTGCTATTAAGGTAGATTAGAAAAGTCTTTTATAGTACCAAAATTTCGCAAGGAAAACTTTGTGTTAGTGCGCAGAAGGTAATTTCATAGATAAAATGATGAGTTATGAGCGGTTTTTTGGTTTCGCGTCACACCTGATCTTGAAATCTGATTGGTCTGTGAAATTTTTTAGGTTGGTAACGCTAGGACAGTTGCCAACTATCGCTATACGTACAGTAATTTTAAGTAAAATGTAAGCTTTACGAAAAATAGTTTTTTAGCACCTGGAAAGAGGCCTCTGTCATCGACAGTTCCAACAATAGTTGACAATGAAGAAGTTGAATTGGAATTAGTACTTGGCGGTAGTGGTGGTTCAAGAATTCTTACTGCCATCTTGCAGGCAATTTATTTAATATATATAAAGCCTTGTTTTTCTAATACATTTTTTCATGTAATATTTTTACTGTAAAATTTATAGGTGCTGACTAATGTGTATGATTTTGTTATGGACGTTTTATCTGCTGTAAATGCACCTAGAATACACCACCAACTATTACCAAACGTGGTGAATATTAATTCTCATTTGGTTAATTATTTTCATATTGAAATTTTATTGATCTAAAAAAAAAACTTAATTAGCCACAAATAGAAGCTGGGTTCGATTATAATTTAATTAAAGATATGTTAAATATTGGACATGTCGTAAGTAACTATTATTATTATTGTTAACCCATCCAGATTAATGTGTATATATTTTTTTGTTGTAGATACAATTAAACCATATAGATGATAGAAGATATACATGTCATGGAACTATTCACGGTAAGTAAAACATATATTTAAAAAAAAAAAATGAAATTAATTTTGTCGAAAAATAAATTCAAATAACTTTAATTTTGTCAAACAATAAAATTCAAATAACTTTATTTTTTTCGTAAATATATATAGCTGTAAGCGATTTTAGGAAAAATGGATTAGCAGCTGAATATTAATTTCTGTCAGAAAGTTTAAAAATGGAACTATTCACGGTAAGTAAACATATATTTAAAAAAAAATTGAATTTGATTTTGTCGAGAAATAAAATTCAAATAGCTTTAATTTTGGGGATTTACAGATAAGGCACAAAAACGAAAATAATTACAAATAAGGAAAATAATTACAGATAGAGGTCTGATATTTGCAAATTATATGATTTAAGCCCCGTTTCGATGATTTGAACATGATTTAATATAGTCATTAATTGTTAATGTATAGAAATGTAATAATAATCTATTAATAATTCAAATATAAATTCAAAGCATAATAAAAAAATGTAGATTCGATTAGTAAACCCATTATTTGCGTTGTAAATTTATTCCATTGAAATTCTTCATATATTCCTTAAAAAACCTACGTACTGTATAAGCTTAGCAAACACCATGTCAAATACAAAATTACAGATCGGTGTCTTTTACTAACATGAAAATGTCTATTCGGCCCGGGAGTTATTCTGTCAAATTCTCTTTTCTTTATAAGTTCAGAACGAACAAATAAAATAGGTTGTTGGCTATTTGTTTTACAAATGAAACCAGTTCATACCCTTTTACTATTTCAGCTAACAAGCCCAAAGATGCTATATTTATATAGTAAGACTGATTTCTCATGAGCCAACTTGTTTAACCTCTATAGAAGCATTTAAAGCACGTGGATTATGCCTTGTAAAGTTTACTGTGACATTAATTAAAGATATATAGCAATACTTCAACCTCGTGATATTATAAATCATGTTCGTTCTGAAGTGGGGCTGAGACATCATATAAGATAATGCTGTGAACGATTTCTAAAGGAGAATCACTTAAAGAATCAAGATTATTGACAACCATATTAAACATTGGATGATTAGTTTTCATCCAATAAAAAACATCTGAAAAAACATTAAAGGGGCACATTTATAGTTTCTTTGATCGAATTTGAGAAAGAGATTACTCCAGCAATGCATACAGGCTTCTTCATAAGCTGGCCAGTTACCTTCCTGATGATGAACTGTGTAGACATCAAGTGTTAATGGAATTAAATTGCTTAGTATGTCTGTTAGATATAGAAATTTGATATTTTTACACTTACAACTGAATTTCAAATAGACTACATCTGCTATATCTAACCATGCCATATGCATAATATGGAGAATTAAATTGATTCTCCATGGTCACGAATTTTACTGAGATTTTTTTTTTTGCCCCAAATATGCTTATATAAATATCATTGAATAAAAATGAATTTTAACAAAAATAAGCTCATGAGCATTTAAAAATACATGAAGGGGACCCATTATCAGTAAAAATGATGTAACTAACAGAAGAATGGCTTTATTATTTAGAAGATACCACTGTGCAATAGCCTTGCAAATGTAGAACTGGTTAGGCCAATCGGCAACAATAGAATTACATTGTTGAAAAGATAATCTTGCATCAACTCTTGATTATAGACTATTTGAAGTGTATTCATATATCTGCTTACACCTTTTAAGTCATTTTTAATAAAAGCAAAGAGGATAGTATCCTGTATATACCGATTATTAGTTTTGTTTTCTATTCTATCATTGTAATTATATACAGTTAATTTATCTATGAGCTCATCATCAGAATATACTTTTTTGCTATTCTACCTATGATCATAATAAAGAACATCAAGATTTACAATAAATCTTTCATCTAGGTGTTTAGCAATTAATTCATGATCAACGATTTTTAGATTAATTGCTTCAATACGTGATATTAGTAATATTCAGCATAGATTCGCTATAATTGTTGCTATGCTTGTTGCAAAAGACCTAGTAGTAGTATTGAGTTGTTGTAGAGTGTGAATATTATGATCATTATCAATATTCAGTACAAAAGCATTTATTAAATATTTTACAAAAACTCCTTCTATATATTTCTCATACATATTAGAAGTTCGTCTCTTCTTATAATTTATTGATCTCAAAGTCATAGTTATTCCAAGGTTAGCCATTGTATTAAGGCCTTCATTAATTGTGCCTGTGGAATCTAAATAATTCGCTATGTCAAACTTAAACACATTAATTTTTGTATTATTTAATCAGGCAAGAAGATGACATATAAATAACATCAATTTTTTCATACAATCTATCGTCTGTTGACTATGTTCAAGTGGCCAAGCTACTAAATAAAGTTGATCAAAAAAATCTTTCAAAGACAGCTGGATTTTCTGAAACAATTGCCTCATCTCATCAAATAAATATATGGGTTCTTCATGCCTTATGTGTTCTCTTTTATAAAGGATTTTTGCCGACATCTTGATGGCTTTTGAAAGATCGATCTTAGCACTCTTCTTTTTCTCATATATAGTTTCATTTTCTGTACTTTTTGCTTGTTTGGGTTTGTCTAAGAAATTTTTCACATTTATATAACAAATATTATATAAAAGGATATTTTCCTTCTACCTTTCCTTCACCAAACTATAAGCCATAGCTTTCTTCCACATTTCACCTCCTAGTAAGCGAAATTTAGACAACTTGGTGGCTAGGCATGCTTCGCAATGCTTCATTTCAGACATAACTTTACTGGTTAATAACAAAATAACAGTGTGGGATTAACTGGGATTAACAAAATATGTTATAGTAAAGTTCAAATACTTCAAGTTTACTGAACTTGACCACATTTCATAGTCATGATTAGTTATGCAAGCCCTTCAAAAATTACTGTAAAGACATATAAAAAAATCTTAAATGAATTGTGTAACTGATCTACAAATGATGGGACGGTCCATCCTGTTTCTTAAAAAAGCCTCTAGCTGTCCCACAAAATTTTTTCCACCCCTTGTAATAACGACTAATCGAATTTCAGGATCAGGTGTAATGTGAAAATTGAGACGAAGCAAAAAAACAAGAATAGCTCTAAATTTTAATTAGGAAACCGCCTTCTGTGATCTAACGAAAAATGTTCCTTGTAAAATTTTACATGTAAGACGTTACATTATCCTAGTCCTAACCTTAACTTTAACACGGTTTTCTTAACTTTAATTTTGCGCATAACTTTTTACTTAGAAAACAAAACACGTTTGTTTTGACTATCATGTTACACTTGATCCTGAAATTCGATTGGTCATTATTACAAGGGGTGAAAAAAATTTTGTGAAACAGCTACCTAAAATGTTTCTTAAACCCGATAACCTCTCAAAACTAATACAAAAGCTGTCAACCATGTCTATCAGATTTGAGAGGGTATACTGTATAAAATTTTTTTATAAAAAGATTTTATAGTCATAAAATGTATAATACAACCCGTGGGTCGATAGCGTAGTGGTTGCACTCCCGGGTCCCCAGTCACAAGGTCGCCGGTTTGAGTTATACTGGAGGACAAAAACCGTGCCAGGATCACGATTGAAGTTCAGCCACAGACTCTTATGGGACGCCTCAAGATAAATACGAAACAGGACGCCTCCGGTGAAACTCCGGTCGAAAAACAAGAAAACTCCAGGAAAAGGACAGTTCCGGTAAAATCCCCGGTTGTAATTGAGTCATCCGGTATAATCCGGTTGTAGACTAGAGGACAGTTCCGGTAAAATCCTCCGGTTGTAGTTGGTAATCCAGTTGTTAGTGATTAGGATTAACTAATTAAATATAGTAATTCTTAAATGTGGAGGATCTTACAAATTTAGAAGACCCCCTGTATAGAGTTTGAAACTGGGTTTATTTTTCATATGATAAAACCGGTTAAAACCGGTTTTAACATATGAAAAATAAACCCGGTTCCAAACACTACCCCTGTAATAAAATGAGTTAATAAAGAATTGTACGCCCTGCGATCAAGCAGGTTTAAAAAGACTTTTGATTAGGTTTGTAAAGGTGGGACTAAAGCCCATTTTTTCAAGTACTAGTATTAGGTAATTGTGAT